TTTCTGAGGTCTGAAAGAATTTCTGGAAAATCTAACAGAAATGAATTTAATCTAATGACAATATCCAGAAGAGAGAAGAGAGGATGGATATCTCGAATAATCCTCTCTACTATGTGGAAACGTTAGAGGTTTTCACATTGTGAAATGTAACAGATATTCACCGTGGCTAATTCCACGAAAGAGACTCTTGCAAGTTTCCTCACGAAAGAAATTCCTACAGATGCTTCTTGTTTTTCGGCAGCAGAATTTGCTCTAATGATCACCAAGAGACCAGTTTTAGAATAATTCACCTGGTCAGTTCATTACAGATCTAGTTGAGATGGAAGTGACGTCTAGTACTCATTTGATTCCACTAACGCTTCACCGATAATACCAATCCTTCATCGGAGACAAAAGCCGTTTCAACCACGATGAAGTTGATATATTTTCACCTGAAAAGCGAACTCCTAAACCAAAAACAAACACCCCGTGTACCAAAACTTCAACATGAGGTTGATCAGTATGACCACTTCTGTGATGAATTTCTTGCTCAGTTCATTTCAAATCTTCAATAAGATACAGAACTTATGATGCACTGTTTGGAACCTTTAGTGTAGTGATGAATATTACTGGAGTTTTTTTTCCCAACACCAAATCGTTATTTTCAACACCTCGACACGTGTTTCGATCACCAAGTGCTCATCTTCGAATAGGAAGATTAAAACTCTCTTCCTCTTGAAGATGATCACTTGGTGATCGAAACACGTGTCAAGGTGTTGAAAATAACGATTTGGTGTTGGGAAAAAACTTCAGTAATATTAATATATTTTAAGATACAGAACGTCTAATTACTGGCGAAGTTGTGCATTGACGACTGATGTTCAGGAATGTGAATGACAAAAGAGAAGAGTGTGCTGCAAGGAAGGCAATATATTAGATGTCTAGTCTCTTTCATCAATTTTTTGAAACCAGAGCCCAAACATACCTCGCAGTGAGAGTGTAGTGGCTTTGCAAGTGACCGCCTCGGGAAGTCTTGTTTATCTTCGACATTTCCATGAATAGCGTCTTCGTATGGTGATATGCCATCACCTACTCTTTCAATAAACTGTATGTGTGCAGTAAGGGATGGATAAAATATGAATCCTTGGAGAATACCAGAGGGGAAAGAATCCGAGACAGAACCGTCGATGAATACTCGTGAGAAACAGTCTTTGGGGAAGATGAAGAATTTCGAGCCGAAACAATAAGGCAAAATCCCAGTTTATTTAGTGAATCTTCTCGTCTTTGGCACTCCAGTTTGGGTACCTGGATATTAGTGTCATAAGGGCAATGAGGATAATCTATAAATTGGTGGAATAAGCTCCAGGCAAAATAGTTCATAAAGAAACCATAGCCCACATTCGCGGAAGGTTGTAAGGGTAGTGGTCGGTCTACTAACGGGGCATAAAAACCCAATGCAGGTTTTGTCAAGACAAGAAAGAGACCGCACTGCATGTGCTTAGTGAATGCGAAGCGATAGCAAGGCTGAGACACGTAAGATGCGGGGATGAGGAACCAGAGGCTGCCAGATATATGAAGGGGTCAGTGTCGAAGCTATGGAGTCTCATCAAAGAGATCAAGCTAGACAATGAGCTCTAACAACCGATGAGTATCACAATAGATCTGAAAAGGTCGCAGTAAGTCAGGCCATGGGCTAGCTCCTCGACGATCTAATGTAATCTAATCTAGTGAACCCTTATGTGACACATAGCCAAAGTACTTGAAAATATTAAATACAATAGCCAGAAGGTATACATTCTTCTGCATTGCATTATTCCAAAGATGGGTGACAGAAGCAGCAAAAACAAATATTGATTCTCACTGGAGAGGTTGAAGCATTCCAGGTGTTCAATCGAATGTTTTTCAGCTATTTCTATGAGGTTTCAAAATCACTTTGACAAAGCAACTGCATTCGCAAAATACGAACTTTTTCGTAGGATTTTTGATATGAGCTGAACTAGAACAGTCTCTCACTAAGAAAAAAACAAAGTTTTTGTGAGACAGGTCGAAGAACCTACAATACGTTTCAACCATTTCTTCCTTCATCAGCTCCACGACAACAATTCAACAAATTAGTATGCCATGGGAATTCAGTAGAAATTATTAATAGTGATCAAATTCAAAAAATATTTATTTTAGAAGACTGCCGAGTACTGATTATGCTATGTTGTTGATATTTTATGGTATCTGACTATTGAACCGCAATCTTTCGTATATTATTTGATTCAATCCAAGTTTTTTTTCAATCATCAGATATTCTGAAAACTCGATTCGAAAGCTTTTAGAAAATCCAAGAGAAGTGTCATTCTTAGTTGATTCAGATCAACTGAGTTGTCTTTATGAAATGAAGCAAATATATTAATCTAAAAGTACCCATTTCAGTTTCTCTACCATTTCAGGTAGGAGAAAAAACCGATTGTTCAAACTACGTAAACTCTTCAATAACATTAGATTACCATTTGCCAAAACTCCATGAGTATTTGAAACTTCCACTTTCGTCAAAAAGGAGAATGAATAAACTTTGGGGATTCTTCTGGATCATTGACAATTTATTTTATCAGATTTCTGAGAACGATTTTGTTACTTTTCATCGCATTTTACATCAACAGTTTTGTTGTTTCGTATATTCCAATCGAAGTTTGAACTGGAACCTCCGGTGAAATAAATCCAAACATCAGAACTGCAATTCTCTTCTCTACGCACATTTTACCAATCAACAGGAGAAGAAGTAACCTGGAAAAAGCGTTTGTTTTAGATTCCTTCTACGACAAAGGTTCCAGTTACACCTTTAATAACAGTTACTTGCTTATTGAAATCGTATTTAAGCATAATCTACATGAAAAAGTATCAAATCATATATCTCTTTCAAGACTGGTTTGGTTGGAAATGTTGGTCGTTTCTCAGTTGATTTTGGTAGATATGTATCTTCTTCAGATTATGCAGCTCACTTTGATTCTGATGTTATTCTTCCACGTTTTTTGAACAATATCGTCTGAAAAATCTACAGTTTGAGCTTTTAGAACTATGAATACCAATATGATGAATATTTCTTGTATTGTGTGTATTTTCTATAATGTTATCCTTTTTGATACTGAAGAGTCTTAGGGCAAATGTCTTAAGGCGAAACATCGATGTATACCAGTGAGTATGACACAGTATGAGACAGTATGACAATATGTTACCATTCATTTAAAGTACAACTCATGTGAATGATATCTGATTTTCATTCCACAACGAATGTTTGAAATACAAACTGAGTAGAGAAAAGTATCTTCTGTATAATTCAGTGTTCATATAGAAGTATTTGTTTCGAAAGAATTTTTTCTTTCGTGTAAGAGAGAAATAGTTAAAAATACTTTCTCTAATTTTACGATTATTAGTCACACACTTTGTGGAGAATATTTAAATTCAGCGCTGATCGATAACTTGTTTTATAAATGGCTTCTAGGAAATACGATGCAAAGTAAACTGAGTAAATAAAAATGGGCGCCCTTGATTGCAGCGGCCATTAGAGAAGTTGTTAAGCCCTTCCGTTTCGTTAAATAATCAACTGCTTTCACACTCTTTTATATAACGTAATGGCCCATCATCAGAATTGAAGTATCTACTTGGACGGTTATTTTTATAATGGATTGGATTTGGATTTTATTGTCACTTGAATCGAAACTAGGTTACGCTTTTTTGTATCGAGAGGTGAGCTACGAAGAAATTTTTTTTATTCCGTTTTGAACAATACGATTCAGGAATGTAGGCGCACTTTCAAAATCGAGATTTTTCGCCTAATTTTTCATGATGCCTACTGTAAAACTACTAAGGTAAGATATGTGATGGAGTTGACCGATGCTTTATGAAAATCAATAACGTATTCGCTATATAGTAGCTTTTTTAAGCGTTTCGGTGCTAAGTTAGTATGAGGTGAACAGTTAGGGCAGAAAATAAACGGTATTTGAAAAATGCAAGTAAGGGTGACATAGATGATTTTGATCTAGAAAAATATAAAATATATTTCAACTTTATGAATCTTACTAGAAAATACTCCTGCGAACGGAAAATATTGAATCAGAAAATGTCATGAAACTGTATTTTTGTATACATAGGCATTTTTGTAGATCTATCGGAAGCAACACTGTATGCCACGAGAGATTACTATAAAAGTCTACTTCTACGACATAAGAGGTCCTACACACCGATTCCACTCTAAGTTCGCACTGCGAACACTGCAAACATAGAGCTAGCAACGAGACTTGGGGACAAGGGAGAGTTGAAGTAAAACCATCAGGCATCTGTGCAACGTCTTCAACTTGGAAGATTCGTCGAAAGTTATTTCCGGTTTCGGGGTGATTGCCCCATCATCAGTACCGGGCATGATCTCTTCAGAACGTTGTGAACCGTCTGAGTATCACGGTCTATCGGTTGGTCGGATCGACCAAACGAAATCAATTTCTGCTTCTGATAGTGGAAAATAACTTACGACGAATCTTCCAAGTCGAAGACGTTCCACAGGTATATATATGTCGGAGACGAAACAATAGTTGGAACTTTCCCTGGAAAAACCTTTCGTCTAGACTTTCATTGCAGTAGTATTTAAATGATAAAATTCAGAGTAGTTGTTTATGACTCAAGCCGATTATGTTTTCAAATAAAGTTGACTTGTTCTCTTGTATTATAAATACGTATATCACTGATTTTTATGTAATTTTGAAATTAGTAGGTACCGAAATCTCTGAATATATTTCAAAAATGAGAATCAGTGTCTATTGTGAATCAATTGGAGACACCTCAAAATGAATTTTTGAAATAAGTTCAACAAGGTTATTACGAATGATGTCATAACACGAATGATATTTAATTAGTATTCCATATACACGCTGCTATAGTAAACACACTGGACTTTACAAAACATCTCTGCTATCAACCGAAATAATACCCTCCTCCTCCTATTACTCCCTATCGTGTAATGAACCCCTATAAAAAATAATAACCTTCTCAATAACCCTAGTTAATCATCTCCAGCCGGTCCGGACACCATTAACAGCGGGGAACCTCGTAAAATTCCTGCCAGTAAATTATCACGTGTGTGTTAACAGAGGCCCGTCACGCGATATCCTCGAGATGTTCTGCTGCGTGATTGCAGGATCGCGACGTGTTTACCACTGAGCACTGATAGCGGTCCGAAGCGACGCGACGTTTTCTCCATCGACGACGCTGGCGCAGTCGAGCGTCGACGATCAGTTAGCAAAACACTCCGGGTAATGTGCACTGCTGAGGCTGCAACGTTTTTTATGTTTCGATAGGCGGAACACACCCACATATGGATAGGTTTATCCGTGTAATCGCGGAGAGGGATGTAGCGATATTTTCCGCGTGAGAAAATTATGTTTGCCATGTCAAAGATGAATACGAAAATCATATCACGAGGAGTTTCTGGTTCGTATGAAGACGTCGACGGGCAACACAAATTTAAAATTTGATTTTTTTATAAATGTAACTCCAAATTCGGATTCTTGGCTTTGAATTCGGAATTTTAAAATGGAATTTCAACAGCAAACTCGAAATTTCAACGGCACTGGAAAGCTGTTTGAATGTAACACATCAAGACAATTAACCAGCCAACTGATCAAATACGTGAAATCATCACATCAGCCAAGGGCGAAAGAAATCCTCTGACATTCGGCGGTGTATACTCTATACTCTACTCCTGTGGCTCGGTTTACATTGGAACTACCAAAAGCAATATCAACACCAGGATAGAACACAAATGCTACTGCTGCCTCATACAACCAGAGAAATCCACAATCGTAAAATATCTGTTAGTAGAAACATACCATATAAAGAATACTGATGTTCTGTCTCATTCAACGTATTATCACTCATGACTTCATAGAAACGTCCTTGGAATTTATGAGCATTCCAATAATTTCAACAGTGAAAAAGGAGATATACGTCGATAAAAAAGTGATATCCAGTACTGAAGAAGGGAGTTGAAATGGACACCAATATGTCTTGGCACAATCCTGTCGCAAAAGCAAAAGCTGCTTCTGGAAATTTCGAAACACTGTTCCTAACCAGAAAATTGTACATACCTCATGCTTTATGAAGCTCAGATCAAACCATTTTTTGGAGTTTTGTTCTCATGTATGGCGCTCTGCACCCAAACATACCCTGAAGTTGCTGGATTCCACCCAGAAAAGAGCCATTCGCCTGATTGGAGACTGATAGACTGTAACATCGAGAGATTTGTCTTTCTTCTATAGATACTTCCACGGGAGGTGTTCAAGTGTCTTGTGCTTTTGTTTTATCCTTGAAAAAATGGTCAGAAATGGACTATAATACAAATCCGATGTATACCTCACCAGTAGCATACCCGTCAGTAACGTGGACCAATCGGAACAAGCTGGTAACAGGGCGCATCAATCACAACGACCCAGCAGAATTGTGGACCAACCAGAAGTGGGCATTCTCATAGAAACCTCGCCATCTCCCCACCACCATCACCCCTACCACCCTCTGAAATTATAAATACCAGTGAACACGAAGCTCGCCAGTCAGTCGGTGCTGAGACTTTTGGATTCAACCTTCATCCGCGCAGTTAACGCACATTCATCTGACGATGTTTGCTGCAAAAGCAGATGAAACGTTTGATCATGCAGGTCATTCAGCCTACCAGTTCAGATGTTGTTCTCGTCATTCGTGAAAACGACCGGGAAAGCATAGATATATTCTATTCTATTTGGAATATCCAGTATAGGTTAGGGTTACCAAAATAACTTCTGAATTTTGACTAGAGTTTCTGTCTCAGAATTTCGAGTTGAGACGAAACTGCGAGTTTCGAGTTGGAAATCTGAATTCACACTCAGATAGGTTAGATATTAGATGGCCAGATGAGTTTTTGATAGGTTAGGTTATGAAAATGACGTCAAAATTCTGACTTCCAACTCCCAACTTCGAATTAGGAATTTCAAGTTCAAAATGAATTGGGATTCACTAGGTTCAGTTGAAATTACATAAAATTCATCTGATTTTCGATATTTTGTCAAAATTATGAGTTTGATGTGTAATACACTCAATCATGTGTTCAAAGTCTAAACTGAATGAAATTCTGATTTAAAATTCCAAATTCAACAAATATAAGATTTCAGCAGATGTTTCGAGTTTAGAGTCGGATTTACACAAAAATTAAGAATTTTTCAAAATAATTCCAAAATTTTTCCAATAATTCCAATTCCAACTTCATTGATCTGTAAATTTAGTTGAATTCTAACTTTAAATATTTCTATTAACGACTTGCTTCAAACACTTCAGTTATAATGCTGATTGTACAAAAATTTTGATCTTTCCTTTTTGGGGATTTTCATCTTCCACAATCTGAACAGAAATGAAAATCTATGATGGAGAACTCCATTTAGATGTAAAATTTTCAATTCACCCTGTTACTGCGTTAATTTGAAGTAACGGCGACGTTTCGTTCATTAGATTCCATCATCAACTTTATTTTCCCAAATTCGGACCTTTATTGCATAGCTTATTCTGTCATCACAGTAGCTATAAAAATTAATGAAAAAAAGAGTTCTGTATTCAAAAAAGGTTGATGAAATATTTTGAGAGAAACATCCCTTAGCAAATTGGTTTGAACAAATATGAAACGGTATTGAAGGTTCCCCAGTCTTCATTTTATATCATTCGAAATTGAGGCGGTAGAGCCAAAAAATAAAATTCGACATTTGTAGTTTCTGGTGAATATTGCCAAAACAACCACTCATATTCTCGATCAGGAAAAAAATAATTCTAGTTTGCCAAAATAATAAATTTTTATCCACTTCAACCGACCTTGTAGGTCTTATCGTTTCCAAGACAGCAATGGTGGGATCAGCTGGAAGAAATTACCTGTATATTGTTCTAAATAATTTAAATACATTCCTTACGTCATCTTGTTCTGTCGTCGAAACTCAATTCTTTCTTCCACCATGGCTTGACCAGCTCTATGAACTTCCATATGGGACCTCTGGGGATGATCTTGGTTTCTCTACATATACAATAAAATGTGAACTGCTTTGAGTTCCTCCTGAAAGGACATTTTCAAACGAATACAATCATTGTATTTGTTGTTCACATCACAACTATAAGGTACTGCCGAATGTGGTCATAGGAAGTGGTCCCAGAATGTCAACTGCGATTATCTCGAAGGAGCCCAATGAGGTACTACTTCAACCTTCCTCTTTGCTTTGTCTTCGGACTCTTTCTCGAAGAGCACAGGTCATAGCGCTTGATCCACTTTTCCACGTATCGGGAGTACCTCTCACGCACTTTTACTGGAGTTCTATTCGAGATATAGGCCGTCGGTGGAATTATCTGGAATGTGTGGGTTCTTTCCTTCGGGCTTTCCCATTTCCAAGTGAGTAGGCCATTTCGAATGCACATGAAGTCCCATTGAAGCCAGTAACCCTTTTTTCAGCCGGCCGTGCTTGGAAATCTATCGTTATTTCGGAGTCACTCTTTTGTCTATCCATTCTCGTACAGTTTCTAAGACCGGATCTTTCTTCTGTGCTACGATGTTAACGTTCCTTACCACGATCATACTACACCATGGTGAGGTGGTACCTCACATCTTCTGTCCGTATCTTTGGACAAGGGATCTTTACAAGTTGCTACCTCCGGTTCAGAGGGTACCCGAAGCAGCATGAGGTAGGGGAGTTAATCCAGACTCCATGAAGGAGTCTCTGCCCGTTACCTAATCACGTCTGGTGAAAATTTCTTCTTCTGGTAGCTGGGTATCCTTCTCCTCCTGGCGTTTACAAAATTTGCATCCGGATATCACGTGACCCTTTCCATTCCGATGGAATACAATGAATGTTGAACGGAACTGCAGTAACGTGAGTTACAAAAAGAAAAAAATACTTTTGTACAATATTTATTGCACACTTGATGCAACTTTGAAAAATACTTTCTTCGAAATATTAAAATAAAAAATTATTAAAGTCAAAAAATCTCTATAGTCAGTTCACTGAATCATTCCAACTGAACCAACTGATGTAAACAAAAACGAACCCTGTCCACTCAAATCGCTGGGGATGACTTTTGAAGCATGTTTTAGAGCCCCTGTCATAAACAATATCTGCCAGGACTGAGCCACTTAATGAACCGTTGCCACATAATTTGTGGCAGAATGTTCCGATCACATTCTGAGGTTCACAAAAACCAATAAATCAGAGAGACATTTCAACTGCTGTATATCGATGATGTATTGTTCCTTGCTCTTTTGCAGTTGGGTGAATCTTTATGGTGCATAAAATAATTTTGTTTCCATTGCCGTACCGAGTCGTTGGAAATAAGATTCACGTTATTTCTTTTTTGATTACATAATTCATATGAGAAAACATTCTAAAAAGAACTGAAAGAAGAGCTGAAACAGATGGAACTGCTGGCAGGATATTCTGATAAATTGGGCAAATAGGACGTTATGTGACATAGTGAGTTGGTCGGTGAATTTGCTTGCTTTATTTTGAGATTCAGAAAGATCAGTAAATCAGCTTTAAAATTCCACTAGCTTATTATTGTGTTGAAGGAAATGGTTATGATTTATGAAGAAATAACATTGTGGAAGTGATGTAACTACAATTTGATGTAACGATGTGTAGAGACAGAAAATTATGACATATCATTGCATCCCTTACACGGTATTCTCTATACAAGCCATTTCTTTCATCATGTGGTAACATTACTATATTCTAATCCGTAACAGATACGAAGACGATTCAATTGGTGAAAAGGTTACTGTCATCGGGAATAATACAATGGTCGAGAAAAATTTAAGGGGACTCTCGCCCTTCTCCAGTTATACGGGTAAAACCAAAAATGCTGTTTTTCGTATTTGAAGTGTGATAGCACGATATAATAATAAATATTCGATTAAACGATTCTTGTCAACATGGCCACCATCAACTTTTTTTTTTTATACGGACCTGTCTTTTTCATTACAGATATTGATGAAGCGATAAATTCACAATCTAAGGGTATATAACATTTGATATTTATATAGTGTTTCATTTGAAATAACCACTATCAAAAGTGACAACAATCAAACAGATAAACAATTTATTTTATCATGAAACTTTGGGAAAAATGAAACCAATAAGGAAAATCAAAGCTACATGGCAATCTACATTAAATGCTCGAATTGACGACCTCTTTGTTGAATGCACG